CATACTGCCAGTGGGGATGTAAAATGAGGCAGAAGCTTTAAGAAACAGTAATGGAGTTTCTCAAATTATTAAACAGAATGTAATAAGTAACTCAGCAATCTCACTCCTAGGTATATACACTAGACAAATGAAAAGATGTTCATGTAGAAACTACATTGGCATCTTTTAATTCAATGTTCATCAACAGACAAATGTGTAAGAAATTTTGATATAGCCACACAATGGAATGTTTTTCAATCAAAAAAAAAAAAAGGACTAAAGTATTTACACATACTAGGATATGGGTTTAAGGGGAAAATGCCAGATGTAAAAATCACACAAACTGTATTATTCCATTCATATGGAAGTCTAGACTAGAGAACTTTTTGGAGACAGAACTTTTTGGAGAGAGAAGCAGATTAATGGGTGTTTAGTGTTGGATGAGAGGGAGAGGAGAGGGGATCCCACATTTCCTTTTAAGGTGAAAAAATATTCTTAAACTGTGGTCTTGTTTGCACATAGTTTGAAAATAAAAAACAAAACATTGAACTGAATGCTTAAAATGGATAAACTCTGATACATTAATTGTATCTCAAGGCCGTTCAAAATGTAAACACCCATATTGTTGATACAGAATATATAGGATAATTACTATAAAAATGGAAGGACATGAGTTCAAGGGTAAGAGAATTAAAAGAATGATAAACTACCATTTATTTAAGTGGCTTACATTAGCTGTCACTCTTTCTTAGAAATCTCCAGAGAGGAAAACTTTCAGGAAGGATTTCTACAGGGACATGGGTAGAGTAACTAATGAAGAGTTCCTATGAACATTCAGAAATTCACTTGCATCAGGAGTTACTAATATTACCTAGGTGTCTGTAAAGATAAGCAATTTAACAGTAGCCATCTCAACTTATGTTAGAGTAAACTCTCTTAAATTACTGAGGGGCAGAAAGGGATCTGTCCATGTAACCATAGACAGAGAAAGTAACTACTGAAAAAAGCTCACAGTAAAGGGGAAATAGCACAGCACATTAATTTTTTAAACTATTTATTTATTTATTTATGCATACAGAACTGGGGTACAGACCATAGGTTTGGGGCTGGTGAGAAGATTCACCAGAAACAATGGGGAGCAGAACAGGCAGATTGACAAAGTACACGGCTGAGGGGAGCAGCAGGTCAGACAGGAGAGGTCTGCTGTGTCATGTGTGTCACCTCCCTGGCCAGTGATTGAACTCGTGCCACAGCGGCTACGATAGCTTCATGGTGGTGTTGTTTAACCCTTTGTGCCACCAGGGAGGGGCCTAACTTTCTTTTAGTAATGTGAAAGTTGAACTCTTCTCACGATGGGTATTTAATTTTGATCATTTATGATGATGTGAATCTGAAATCTTTATATTAAACTCTTTTCTTCAGAGAGAATAAAGGGGGAGAGGAATGATCCATCAAGTCTGGTACAGGAATTAAGCTAAAACCTTAAGAAAACCCATTAGTTAGTAGTTTTAGAAGAACTCTTGCTCTGTATTCTAGTACACAGAACCTTACTATATGCTTGAAGCTTTCACTTAATGGTCATTTAATTTCTAAGATTGAAGGAAGGCATTCAGTGCCAACCTTTCTGCCAGTGACCATCAGCATCAGTGTTGCAATTCTGCACCTCTGTGGTTCTGTCAGAGGTACTGGAAACATAAAAGCAATGACAAAAATAACTTAATCTCCACTTTACAGCTACAAGCCCACTGAGTAAATATCAATCTAAATGGTTTCTTGAATAAAGATAGGAATTCAACAGTAACAAGATATACAGTAGACAAGTGTAATCTATAGTGCTGGTTATTTTATAATTAAGCTTGAATAAAAACTTCATCTTATTGATGTCTCTAAAGCTTCCAGTAACTACATTCTGGTATAATTAAGCCATCTTTTTTGGGCTGCTTTTTGGATAAAAGTGTTAGATTTTCCTTTCTAGTTAGAGAAGAGGTCCCCATACTAACCACACCAACATGAAAATATCAGAACAGACTGGCTAATTAGTGCCATAACAGGAACTCCCAGGAGAGCTTATTTTAACTTCTTAAAGTAAAAACCAGCAATATAAATGGCTATGTCATGATTTTCTTATTTCACATATGAAAGCCATTATGAGTCAGTCTACAGTTGTTCACTTTAACAGCTCCTGAATTGCTAATCAGTACTTGCTTTAAACCAGTGTGTAACTCACTCAGCTCATGCCCACTCTCCTTTCCCTTTTCTTATCTTCTCAACAGGTAACAATATGCTACTGTGTTAGCACACTGCTTCCTTCTTGTCTAAACTCTCAGAGACAGATGATATTTGAGCATAAGTTTTTTCTACCACATGAAAGAAAGCCTTTCACTAGTGTTATATGCTCACATATAGGTGTATATATACAGTACAGGCATAGGTAATAATTAGATCTTATGGGCATTTGCATTTTAATGTGGTGACCTAAAAACCGTGCATAAAGAAAAATAAATGAACCAGGTGATGTTGCAAGAACCTTATTTACAGATGAATCCACTTGATAACAATGAGCTAACAAGAGGCAATTTAACAGATGAGGAAATGTTAACTGTAGCAAGGCAGATAAATCAAGAATCTGGGAGACAAATGAGGAGCATGTCACCATGTGCACACAACTGGAGTGATATTTTTTCCACAACAATGAAATGATATTCCAAAATTTTGCAGTGCAAATAAAGACTTAGTAGAATCAGTAAACTGTTATTTCTAAATCAAAAGGGGAATGGAAAGTATATGAACTCTTGCCTTAAAAAGTTGTTTGTATCTTAAGTTAGAACTTAAACAGTTTATTTTTAAATAAAACAATATTCAATTTATGGAACTGTATTTAACTAGAAACACTATGTTCAGTTTATCTCTATGTCTGTCAAAAATGAATTTGGAGCCCTCCCTGGTAGTACAATAGATTAAAGCATAGCACTGTGAAGCTATATGCAGCCACTGCAGCACAAGTTCGATCCCTAGCAAGGGAGGTTACCCACAAGGTGTGGACCTCTCCTGACCTGCCCACTGCTCCCCTAAGCAGTCTATTTTGGTACATATGCCTGTTCTGCTCCCCATTCTGTCTTTGGTGAATTCTTTCACCCCCTGCACATCTGGCCTGTATTCCAGTTCTGTATGCATAAATAAATAATCTTTAAAAAAATGCATTTGGCTCCATTTTTCTCACTGAGTTTACAGAGATAACATCACTGTACTCTCTTAAGCACAACAAAAGCTACAGAGGCTTCATTTCTTCTCCCATTTTCTACCAACTTACCAGTATAGGATCAGTGACACATCAGCAATATCAGAATGATATACATTCTAGTGAAATTCAATTTAATGTCTGCAAAATACTTTCCTGGGATACTTTCTGCTTATCCACTGGTACCAAGTCATTCTCTCCTGCTTAAGGCAGGCATAGCAAAGTTAGGACTATATCTGTTAGGCAGAAGTATTAGATACAACTGTTATATTAATAAAGTCTTATTGCAACACATGCTTTATGGAGAAACAGATAATAAAACTTGATGTCCAGGAGATGGTAAAATAATGGAATTAAATAGAAGCTTGAAATTATACTTAACTTAAATAGCATATAACAGGAAGGAAGTCACAAATGTTGGGTTTTACAAAATACAGAGAAGCCACTGGAAGGGTTTGGTTTCAATTAGAGTAACAGTATGATCCAACTTACACTTAACATCATTAGTGTGGCTGCCATGTTGTAATATACTTATCTTAACATTACTGCAACAATATAGGCGAGAGATGAAAGTGGCAATGGATGAGTGAAAGTGGTTCTATTTCAGATACATAAAGTTAAGAGCATCTGCTGACAAAGTAGATGTAGAATATGAAGACAGAAAGCCAAAGACTGCCTTCAATTTACTGACTAAAAAACTAGAAGCATAAAGTTGTTATTTCTGTAATGATGAAGAATGCCAAAAAAATAGATTTAGGTGGTGTTTATCTCAGACTTACTAAATTTGATATGCCAGTTAACATTTGTAGTCAAGGTGTCAAGTACACAGTTCTTATTTTTCATTAATTGGTCTATAAAAATTAACCAATGTGAAATGAATCTTCTTATGTATTATGGCATCATAAACATTGTATTGATATAAGATTTTCTCAAATTAATGAAATGTTCTATCATATACCTTTATACTTCATCTTAGTAACTGAATTTTCATTGCCTTTAAGATGCAATCTAAACACCTGAACATGAGCTACTTGGGCCTTATTAGAGCCAAACTTGGCTGCCTTATCTAGTCTCATCCCTCATCTTTAATCCCTAGTCTCTTCTAATCACTGTTACCCTCATGGTGCAAATATCAAACATCCTTAAAACACTCGCAGTTCTCTAAACCCAATTTGCTCCTTCAAATCACTCTGCTATTTCTTCTGTCAAAAATGCTCTGTTGTTACTCAGAAAATACATTCTTGTACTTCATGTCTCACTTCAAACATAAACTTACTTTGGACAGTTTTCTACTTATGTACTATTGCAGTAGGCTACAGAGTTGGCTATTAGTCCTACCACATGCTTTCTTATAATTATCAAATTACCTAGAAGTATTTTCTAAAGTTTATGAACTAACCTAAGGGGGATACTATAATTTCTATTTTATGTATATAGCTTATATAATTATATTTTAAGTTTGAGCACAAAAGATATATGTATGGCACACAGATACTAAAAAATATTACTCTGTTGAATAGAGTTCTATATATTTAAAAATTTAACAAGTTGAGAATTCATTTTTAAAGCATAAAGTTTCTGATAAGAATTCCCTGCCATCATACAAATAGTAAGAGACATAAAAAAAAGAAAATTTACAAAAGATAAATAGGCATAAAAGTATCCACATGTACAAGTCAAATGAAAAACAATTCTAATCTCCCTTTGTAATACTTTAGCTTTTTTTCAGATTATAACACCAAAAGCACTAAAATAACATAGCAATCGATGGCAAATATTTTACCTATTTTTAGATCAGCATTTCTTGTGATTTCTGACAGATAGCAGCTTGGTAAAGGATATGATGAAAACATAGGCCAAGGGTATGGGTCATCACTCTAAAAAAAGATGCAAGACAAATGGCTTTAGAGAGTAGTTTAAAATATTGGATTTTAATGCTTTTTAATTAATTGGGTTTGTTTCATAAATTCTAGAGTTGCAGCCTAACAAACCCAAAGCTATTCATATAATTCAGCACTCAAATGGATCATAAATAAAATGAAATGTAATAGAAACACATTCAATAAGCTCTGAAAACAAATATATGCATCTTGTTCTAAGAACCAGGGCTGATAATGATGGTTTTAGTATTCTTTTATAAAAAGAAAATTAAAGTCTTTAAAAACACCTATTTTTCCTATTTAGCCCATAGAACTGTTTTTCTTGTGCTACCAGTCGTATTTATGTCATCTTTCCCCGGGACAAAATCAAAATGTGCTTAACAATGATCAAAAAAATAACAGAACTCTTTAAGAAAAAGCCAAACTCTATAATATTGATGAAAGGAAAGGGACTTAAAGTTACAATTAAGTACAAAAGGAAAATAGTCACTTAAGTCCAATTTTAATGAAACATCACCCTTTATAACACACTAGCACTTGCCAAGAAGAATACCATTTTCTTTGAAAATCTTTACTTGATCATAAATTTTTCCTAATCACAAAATTTCAACTCTGTGATGCAGGTATTTGGCAGGTGATTAGTAGCACCCAAGTTGGCTGCTTTCCTTAAACATATGTTCAGGAAAATAACCACACCCTCCGCTTTACCTCACTCACCTTCTGTAGCATCTTTGGAGGTAAAATTCGCTCCATGGGCCCACCAATAAGATTTATTCTAACAAGTACGTGATTTCTCTCTACTGATATGCCATCAATTATAAAATTCCTGAAAAATGAATATACTGACATTGTTATCTTTAACAAAGAATTGATGGAGATATAATTAATACAAAAAGGTGAATGGGGTTAATAAATATGTCCTTAATAATATTACTTCATTTGAGAAATGGGAATGAGACATACATTAATTCCATTAAGAATGTAATAATCATATTTTTAGGCAAGGTTCTCTTAAAACACAGTGTCTTAAATTCAAAATCAATTAACTTCTTTGAGAGGCCTCCACAATTACCTTCTGTACTGCTGATATCATTGTTCTAGAGCTAACCTACAGGATTCAGGTTATGGCTTGGATGGCTTTAATATTTTAAGAAAGACCTAGCTAGGCTAGATACACACATTATTTTCTTTTAATTACAGGTATGAAAATAATGCCAGTTATTGAAAATGCTGCAATTAAATGTCAAATCAAGATATGGCAAATTTGATATACTAATAGAAATAAATATCAAGATACTACCATAAATTTCATTTTATAATAATCAGAATTTATGATTCTAAAACTAAAATTAAGAAATAAAAAAGTATCCTAAAGGAAACACAAAATTCAAATGTTTTGGTTGATGGACATCTTACACACGAAGCCTGAGGTTAAAAGTTAACACAACCTTCTGGAACCATTAATAAGTTAGGACTTAACTAAAATGAAACAAAACTAAAACAAAAAAATCTAAAACAAAAAAATCTTAGAGAGCAGTCCTATGTAAGTTCTAAGAACATCTTTCACAATCTTTCTGTGATATTTATGATATAATTGCTTTTCAGTCTGCTGTTTAGATGTACTGAAGAGAAACATTAAACTGTATAGAAAATTACTTTCAACAGAGCATCTGTAGAGAAATCTGTCTTAATAATATTTTTGCTTGTTTGTTTTACCTGTGGCTTTCAGAGGTCTCTAAGATATTTTCTTCTTGAGCATTCAGTAACATTTCAGATACATGATACTGAGCCTCTAACAGGAGAAGAGTGTCTAGATCACAGCATATCACACTTAATAACCTTTAAAAATAGGAAATATAAGAATAAATTTTAATAAAATACATTCTAAAAATACATAAACTTTCCTGGAATCTCAAAGTAATATATCACTCAAACATGGAAATACAAATTTTGTAAGAAAATCATGTGGTTATTTTAGGAATATTTTTAATCATTTTGAATAGTAGTCAACTTCACAAACTTTTCCTACTGAAATGTCATTAAAAGATCAAGGGTAATTTCAAATCTTTATTTTAAAAATATACCTAAATCTAAATGAACAGCAAATTTTCTTCTCAACTACTATATAATTTACACATTCATTAGGGAACAGTTAAGAAATACATCCAAACCATAATTTCTACCACTTTTTATTCAGCAACTAATTACAGAAATTATGACAGAATCATTTTGCCACCATTCAGGGAGTATTCATTAGGTGATATGTCAATGGCTAACTTTATAATTGTTGGATCACCTGAGAACACCTAAACACACTTATCTCTCCTATTACTAGAAGACAGACAATCAGAAATTAAGTGGATGCTACTGTGATAAAAAGAGGATGAACACTGTACTATCTATGAAATACTTTTGCCAAAAAAATGGAACTTCACTATCAGTTCATAAAAAATACAAAAGTCAGAGAAATATGCTGAGATACCACAAGGAGGAAATGGTCAAATCCAGAAATGTTGAAGTATAATGTATTATTAGATTATTTCTCTAAGAAAAAAAATGGCATAAAAAGGAGAGACTAAAAGAACTTGGAATTTTTTTTAATCAAGGGTTTTTGTTTTGATTTGACTTTTAACAAAACTGTAAAAGTTCATTTTTTAGTCAGAAAAATAGGGAACAGGTATTACACAGATGAGATCAGAGAACCAGTATGTTTATTAGATGTTTAAGTGGCACAGTACTCATTATAAAAAAAAATAGGTTCTTATCTGTTAGAGATACAGACTGAATCATTCATAGGTAATATGCCATTTTGAAATTTTCTGTCTTTTTAATAAATGCATATAGGAGGTGAGGTCTAAAAGACTGAAAATATGAATAAAGATGAATGATGAACACACAAAAGGTTCATTATACTATTACTCATTGAATGTTTCCTATGTTTAAAAATTCTGATTTTAAAAAGTATATAAAAAGATAAGGTAAAGGGGATAAATGGGTGGCTAAGGTAGACTGAATGACCAGGAAAGGTTTCTTTGAAATGTGGTATTTGAGGAAAAAAAAAATTCAAGAAGAAACCAACCTTGTGATTACAAACAGATCTACTGATTTCTCTTAGAGACATTCAAACATGAGTACAATGGCCATGTACAAAAACAGAGAGGTAATAATAACAAAAACAAATATTTTAATGTCAATCAACTGTAAGATGTTTAAATGTCTGAGATACATTTTTACATGGTACACTATGCAGAGATACATGTTTTGATCAAAGACAAAACATTATTCAAGGCTATTAAGTAAGAAAGGAGAGTTACAACATGCTAAGCATAGAGGAAGCTGAATAAAAATGGTAAAGAATTTGTATATATACATAGATAACATATTTATTTTATATTTACTCTCCAAGGAAAAAAATGAAATTGGAAAGAATAGTTAACTCTGCAGTGGGTGGGGATCTGAGAGACAGAAGGGTATATAAGCTCTCACTGTGTATCTTTTATAGTTTTGAATTTTAATGTAATTGTATGTTTTCTCTATTCAGCTGAAGTAAAGATGTTTATAAATGCTTTTGTAAATGCTTTTAAGAGTCAAAAATGAAATTCAAAATCAATCCCAAGAACTTGGCTAAAATACTCAAATACATTTGAAAGTAAGGGAAACTACACCTTCAGTTTAGAGAAATAAATCATTCTTAGTCTATAAAAATAAAAAATTCAATGGAACTAAAATGAAAGAAAGACTCTAATTTGAGAGTGGTAGTAAAAGTTGCTAGTTATCTTTTTTTCATCTCAGAAATAACTCCAAGAATTGAGTGGGGAAGAAAAAAATAGCATATCAAAAATAATTAGCCATAAAATGAGTTGCAGGTTAAAATAAGGCAAGTAGTGCTAGGGCAAGAAAAAAAAAATTGAGCAAGGATATGATTATTACCCATGATGTAAAAGGAAAAGTGACTAAGTTTCTCAAAAAGACATAATAAATTTCTAATTAAAGACAAGAAATTCTTTGAAAATAAGGAATATACTAAGATGAAAACCCCAGTCCTCTATTGGAATAGTGGAAATGGAAAACACAGCAGGACAATTCTTGGTCCTAGATGGTTCTCAGTAAAGATACAGGGTAAAACAAAAGTCACAGAAAACTCAATTATAATTATGAATGATTGGTATTAGGTCATAGAGACAGTATTAATAAACAGAAACCTGACTATCTCCATAGTAAGTTAAGGAGAGCACAAAAAGAGGACAAAAAACATACTCATAACATCAGGGCTTATAGAAACCCAGCTAACCAGAACACGACTTTAACTCCTCTTCAACATGAGCCTCATAAATATTGAAAAGAAAACACCTATTTCTCAAAAAATAAATAACACAAGATATATATAAAAAGTATCTTCCCTCCCAAAAAAATAAAGACAAAACAGATGGCAAACACACACACATTTTCCATTAACGACTCAGACCAAATAATTTTCCATGTATTAAAAAATGTTGCGTAAATGTATCAAGTTGACATTATAACCTATACAATGTTAGATATTAATTATAATCTCAGTAGAAAGTAAGTTTAATAAAGCAATGATCTCCAATAAACCCTCTGCACAAAGCAGAGATACATAAGAACAGAGAAGAAACCACATAACAATCAGAAAAGATAAAACATGAACTGACAAAATTAAGGAAAGAAGGGCAAGATTTAAACTGTTCCAGAAATAAAACACAAATGGAAACGGCACTGAAAGAATAGACATTAGAAACATAAATAGCACAGGGGAACAAATGAGTAGAATGTGGAAAATGCAATGGCAATAAAGAGAATACACTATCAATTTCTTGAAGAGAAATATGGAATAACTTAACATCTTTAAAGATATTAGTAAAGAAATTTTCTGAAATAAAAGAAGCCCTGAATCAAAGTATATAATAAATACATACATAAATATAAATAAAACTAACTATATAACATGTCCCAGGGGAAACTAAACTGTAAGAGTCAATACCAATACAGTCTAAAAACACTACTGGACTTAAAAAGGACCATTAGGATATTCATGAGGAAAGACCAAATCACTATAAGCTGTTTCTAATGCCTATTCTTTCAGTGCCATTTCCATTTGTGCTTTATTTATGGAATATTTAATTCCCGCCCTTCTTTCCTTAACACTCAATACCAGAAAAACAATGGCACAATATTGGGAAAATGTCAAACATCATCAATATTAAACCATATTACAAAGCTTTAATATTTTAAAAAGTATGATAAGGACACACAAAGAAAATCCAGATATAGACTCAAATATATGGAGGAAATTTTATATTCTATCAAGGGCAGATCGAAAAATAGCCTAACTGAATATGTGAACCAAAAAGAAGAAATATCATGGATGACTGTAGATGTTAAAAAATGGAAAACAGGGCCCTCCCTGGTGGCGCAGCGGGTTAAAGCACAGCATTGAGAATCTAAAGCCGCTTCTGCATGAGTTTGATTCCCGCCTGCCCTGGAGGTGTGGCAGACCTCTCCTGACCCGCCCACTGCTCCCCTCAGCAGTGTACTTCCTTGATCTGCCTTTCTGCTCCCCACTCTGTCTCTGGTGAAGCCTCTCATCGCCCCTGAGTCTTTGACCTGTACCCCAGTTCTGTATGCACAAATAAATTTTTTTTTTTTGAAGTGGCTTTAGCTTTTTAGTGCTGTGCTTTAACCTGCTGCACCACCAGGGAGGGCCACAATAAGTTTTTTTTTTTATTATTACAAAGTTTATTTTTACATCATTTTGCACATTTTTTTTTCCATCTCGATTGTAATCCCCGCAGGTTTCCCATCACCAAATCACCCCTGTGCCACCACCATAGTCCCGTGCATTTCCCTCCCTTCCCTCCCCCCCCCCCGTTTTTGATCCCATTCCCCACTTCACACCCACAAATAAATAAATATTTTTTAAAAATGGAAAACATCAAGTCATCAACTAAGATATATAAGATTTAACTTGTTTAGGTTTAGGGAGAACCTACTGATAGTCCTATTTTCTTTACAGTAGCTCATCAGTGAGCAGGTAATGAAAGTGATCTTAATGCCTTCTGGTTTATAACTTGAAAACAGGGGTCTATAGGATCTATTTGGGCAATGAGATGACCCAAGGAAATTAAAACAACTCAAAAAGCAAATACATGCCTGGACTAAATGTCCATTTGAGAATGAATAAATAGAAACCTTAAAAAATTAGGTAAGGGGCCCTCCCTGGTGGCGCAGCGGATTAAAGCACAGCACTAAGAAGCTAAAGCCACTCCACATGAGTTCGATTCCCCCCTGCCGGGAGGAGATCCACAAGGTGAGGCAGACTTCTCCTGACCCGCCCGCTGCTCCCCTCAGTGGTGTACTTTGTCAATCTGCCTGTCCTGCTCCCCTCTCTGTCTCTGGTGAATACTTTCACCCTCCACATCTCTGGACTGTACCCCAGTTCCATATGAATAAATACAAAAAAAATGAGGTAAGACTTTTAAAATCCTGCAAGTTCTAAGAATAATGTAAAGCTTAGCAAATTGGATCCTACAGTAAATTTGAAGACTAGTACATCATGACTAAGTACAGTTCATTCCAGGAAGAAACAGACAGTTTAATATTAAAACATCTCCTGATGTAATTCATGACATCAATATGTAGGAGAAAAGAACCATATAATCATTTGACCAGAGGCTTAAAAGCTACTTGATTTAAGACAACATGTACTTTCTATTCCCTGTACTCCAAAATATTCTAACTAAATTAGAGATATTTACTTCATTAATTTGATTTAAAAAACAAATTTATCTCAATGCAAGAGCTAAAAGCATAAACAGGAA